CCCCCCCCCCCGGCCCCCCCGCCCCCCCCCCCGTAGATGGCTCCTTTCCCAACCACACGCCTAACCCAGAGGACAAGAAGGCGGTGCAGGCGACGCGGGTTGCGGTGCTGGAGGCAGGCGCCGACTTGGGCATTATGCTGGACACAGATGTGGACCGGAGTGGTGTGGTGGATGCCGCCGGGAATGGTGCGTGGGCGCGTTGGTGCATGCTTGCATGTCGAGCTGCATTTGCATAGGGTTCAGTATTGGAATTCAGAATGGCGATGGGCTTGCCGCAAGCTATGGTGCCAATCTTTGTCTTCCAACTGTGTCACACTATCCCCCCCACCGTGATCCTGCCGCAGGCATCAACCGCAACCGTTACATTGCACTAATGAGCGCTATCACGCTGCGGGAGAACCCCGGCGAGACGATTGTTACCGACTCATGCACCTCCAACGGCCTTGCCACCTTCATCCAGCAGCTGGGCGGCAAGCACTTCCGCTTTAAAAAGGTGTGGGTGTGGAAGGGTTTGTGGGTGGTGGGGCGCAAGCAGCTCCTGCCATGGCACCCCCGTTTCGTTGCACCCTGCTTCTTCAACCCCAACTGTGCTATGCAGGGTTACAAGAATATCATTAATAAGGGTGTGGAGCTGAATCAGGCAGGCGTGCCCTCCCCCCTTATGATGGAGACCAGCGGCCATGGCGCAATGCGGGTGCGCATTCTTGCCGGTGCTGGTTCCTTGCCAGTTTTGGCTCGTTTCATAGCCCATCCTTTACTTGTGACTTCCAGGAAAATTACTTCCTGGATGACGGCGCGTACGGCGCGTTGAAGATCGTGGTTGAGATGGTGCGGCGGCAGCTGGAGGGCGCAGGTGACGTGGGGGACCTGCTCAAAGACCTGCGGTGAGGCCCTACAGCTGCTCTTGGTTGGCTGTTCTGGCTTGCTGGCCTGACTTGAGGATGCCTGAGTCAACACGCACTCGAGTAAGCACTGCGTGAGCCCCATGCAAGCTGCCTGGTTGGTTAGCTCTGGCTGCATCCGCTCGTGCACGTGGGCTGGCACAGGGAGCCGGTGGAGGCAATGGAGATTCGCGTGGCCATTCAGGCCAGTGATGTCCGTAGCGAGGGCGATCTGGTGACGGCGGCTTTCAAGCAGTGGGTTGATGCAGGTAGGCAGGTGGCGCCGGTGCTGGCTGGCAGAGAAAGTTACTCATTTTCTCTTTGCATCTTTTTCCTAGCTTTGAGGCTGCTATGTTCGTTTGTATTGCTGGCTCTTTCGCATCGGTTTTGGAGGGATGAGTTCATGCGGACCTGCTGCCCTTGGCATTGTACCATCAGCTGCTTGCCTGCCATTTGCCCGCTTGCCTGCCTGTAATGTCCTTGGCCATTCCCGCAGGCTGTGGCGGCGCCGACCACTGGCAGCTGGAGCCGGAGAACTACGAGGGGTGGCGGGTACGCGTCACTGAGGAAGGCGGCAAAGAGGGCTGGATTTTGCTGCGCCCCTCGCTGCATGACCCAGGTACGTGCTGCACATTAAGGAAGGGGCCACTAGGGTATGTGCCCCACCCGCCAGCTGAACCCTTTCATTCACCCCGCTCTCTATTCGCTCATTTTGTTTTCCACTGCAGACATTGTCTTGAACGTGGAGAGCGAGCATGTGGGCGGTATGCGTGCCATCCTGCACCATCTGCTTGAATTCTTCAAGGCTCATCCAGGTGCGCAGGGACGGGGTTGGCTATCAAACCTATGGCTTTGAGAAGGAGTTAGGCCAGCAGAGCCGTTGGGGTGGGTGTGTCAAGGGCAACACATTGTTGACACCACTTGCCAATTGCCCTGTTTTACCACTTTCGCAGAATTCCAAGTGTGCACAGGGCGTGTGGAGGAGTTTGTTTATGGCTAATTCGCTTTTGGTTTACTTGGCTGGCTTGGTTGTAACACATTGTGCTGAGCAAGCAGCGGGACAAGTGGACCGCGGCGGGCGGCGCCATGCCCGGCCATCCCATCGCCACATCGCTGACGGCAAGGGGCAGTGCGGTGGGGACATTGAACCAGCACACAGACATGCATGTCCCAGGTCGCAGTAAGACGGACACACTCTGGCACACAAGCTGTGCCGGGCGCTGTGCTGGGCGCTGTGCCGGCGGCAATAACTTGGCCGCGGCGGGCGCGCGGCCACGCCATCACCAGAGCGGCGGTGTCAAAAGCGAGGGCGGTGGGAGAACAGTGCACCAGCATCCACACAGGCCTGTCCCAGCCCGTAGCTGCCACACCCCTGGCACACGTGCTGGAGGGCCGAGTGCTGCACATGTGCCTCATAGTCGTCCAGAAACACACCAAACAACAGTGGCTTGCTTGACACCCAGCACAGACGATACCTCTTGACCCCCTATAATACACCCTGCATGGATCTCACAATGTGAGTAGTAATGCACCCTGCATGCACCTATATAGCTGGCGCTATGGCACGCTGTTCGTTGACGGCAAGCAGTACACGGGCCCCGGCAGCCTGCCCTCTCCTGACGAGCAGACGGCAGCAGCAGCAGCCCGTGGCGCGTCAGTGACAGCAGCCTCAGATGCTGACGGCTTCAAGACGGTGCAGCGCAGGAAGCCCAAGGGCGCAGTGACGCACCCAAATGCAGCTGGCAGCAAGAAGGCACTCTTCCCTGCCGCTAGCCAGTAGCGGCAGCACGGTGCTGCCAAGCAACTGCAGAAACACAAGGTCAGGAAGCAGAAGGGCAGCGGTGCTGACAAGGACAGCTGCGGTGATGGCAAGGCAGATGTCCAGCATGCCCAGAAGGCCGTCAAGGCAGCTGGCAGCAGGGCCCCATCTGGCGCCGGCAGCCCACACACAACAAAGTTGCCCCCAACACCCGGCAGTGATCAGCAGCAGTTGGCGGTGTCTTGACTTGACTTGACTTACAGAGCGGATTCGGAGCCAGCGAGGCTCATACACGCATTGCGGCGGCGTAAAACATGGCAGTCATTGATAAATGAAGCAACTCTATTCTGGTCTTGGGACAAAAAGCATGGGATGGACGTGGGCAAATCAGGGGGGAAGAGATCTGCGTACTCAAAGCGCAGATGGTCGTAAATGGGGCATAACCCTGTGTTACAGTCACCCCGCTATGATAGGCCGCGTGAGCAGACCTTGGGCAGGGGGCACACGTGATCAAGGGGCATCAAGAGAGGGGGTGGACCATGGAGCACCCTCTCCATGGCTCCGACCACCCTCCCCCCAGCTGAGCGTCCCAGGGTCACCCCACCCTGGCCCCGCTCCCCGTCCTGCCGGACACGCAACCCCCACAACGTGGTGGGGGACGTGGGGATCCTTAGCAGCTTAGGCCTGCCAGGCCGACGGGTGCCGATGCTGGTGCGGGCTCCCGGCGGCAGGCAGCGCCGCCGCCGGGCACTCAAATGGCATGGGGCACATGGGCCCCCATGCCCGCACATCTCCCAGGCACATGAAAATACCAGAAGGCTGCACATGTAAGGGTGCATGCATTGCAGGCAGGAGTGCAAAG